TTCAGTAACAACTGCAGCATCACATCCTTAGCTAAGATTCACAGGAAAGCGCACCTCTGTTTATGAAGGATCTTATGCTTCCACTCACGTTTAGGTTTGAGCAAAATCTGTGTAGTTATTTCAGTTCTAATGTAGTGGTAAAAAAATAATATTTGAAAGCATATTCATGACTGTAAGCAGTAATTGCTTACCCATTCAAATCAAATTAACCATTCGTATTTTCAGAAAAGCTAGTCCTAAGAACCAGGACTATCCGATAGTAAACATGAAAGTCATTAACCAAAACATAACCTGAATAGTATACTACTGCAAACTTCAATCTATTTTATTTTAGCATTTCTTTATTAAATTGAAAGTAAACTATAAATAATTACTGAAGGGATTTGTTTTTACGCTTTTGTTTTCAGTTTATCAACTAGGTAAGTAAGCTACATCAATGCACATAGTACCACTTTAATAGGACCACTGTTATAAAATATCATACTAATAAATAAGATAAAGCCCCCCCCCCCCAAAATATCTCCTTCCCTAAATTAGAGATCAATCAGAAAAAAAACAAAAAAAAACACCTCATACCATTTATCTTTAAGTTTCTGCTTCAGCAGCCTGGTTTATAGGACTAAACCCTAACTAGTGCTGCCTAACAAAAACAATCCTCAACGAAGTGCAAAACAATATTTCTGATAATGTACTAAGAACTAGCAGCAGGGGGTAGAAAAAAGGGAAAAATATGCCACAATTTCATGAAACTGCCATCCTCTGCTAATTCTTAAGCTTAAGCATTTCTTTAAGTAAATCTCTTCAAACCACCCACAAACCACAATGCTTTACTTGAGCTTCTTTTAAGAGCTGAATATAGTAAGAAATATAAAGCCACAAAGCTGAAAGCTTCTTTTTCTGTTGTTTAAACATACACACAGACTTTGCACTGTTTCATGTTAAAAAAAATGCAAAAAGTATCCCTTAGATCTATAAAACATACTTGCCTATAAAAGCAACCTTGAAAATTGAGTTTCACTCCATCTAAATCATACCTTAAATTCACCTTTATCATTCTTTAGACACCATCAGTGGGACTACAGAACAAGGTGGCCTTCTATATTCAAAGGGACAGGCACTGAGCAGTGCAGCTACTTCTCTCTTGCTTTATGATCCCACTTATCACATATACCACAGAGGTCAGACTGTGTAGTTATGTCTGGCAAACCGTTTCACCAGAAGGGAACTCATACCACTGCTCTAACAGTGGGAAAGATGCAGCACGGTAGTGGGAGAACTTCACAAAGAATCTCATGCTTGTGTGTGAGACTTGACAGGTCTGCTTATCCTTTATGGTATCAGCTTGCACCCTCTCTTTCTTGCCTGACAACCTTTACATCTAGCACCATATACTTGCTTCACCAAAACATCCAGTTCCTCCACAACTTCATAAATCATTCTGTTCTTTCTCTCCCCTGCTGCCTGAGTTGCTGAACCCCACCACCTCACGCTCTCCTTGCTTGTTTCAACCATTCCATGACTCTTTCCCTGCTCTATCACTATCCCTGCTCACACATAGCACCTATTTTCTCTGTGCTGTAAGCAGCTAAGATTTCCCCCATCACTTACGTTCCAACTGCCTAAAGTATTGCTGTAAATTTTGCCAAATTAATTTTCTAATTCTACTGAACACCCATCCATAATCTCAGTCACAGCTTGCACCCTTTGAATCACTTCTGCTAATTCCTAAAACATTACAGGGATTTTTGAGGGGGAAGAGATACTATTTTATTAAAGAAAAAACAATTCGACAAGACGCACCATAAAAATCTTGTCTTATCCATAGCATCAACAAAGATTTCTTATCTGCTTTCTAAACATTGCTATACATTTATCTGGCCCCAACCTTCTCAATTATTTTAGATAGAGTATCACACAGAATCACAGAATGGGTGAGGCTGGAAGGGACCTCTGGAGGTCATCTAGTCCAACACCCCCTGCTCAAGCAGGGTCCTCTAGAGCACATTGCACACGACCCTGGTCCAGATGGCTTTTGAATATCTCCAAGGATGGAGACTCCACTACCTCTCTGGGCAACCTGTGCCAGTGCTCTGACACCCTCACAGTCGAGAAGTTTTTCCTCATGTTCAGGTGGAACTTCCTGTGGTGCAGTTTGTGCCCCTCGCCTCTTGTCCTCTCACTGGGCACCACGGAGAAGAGTCTGGACCCATCCTCTCGGCACCCTCCCTTCACATACTCGTACACATTGATGAGGATCGCCTCTCAGTTTTCTCCAGGCTAAACAGGCCCAGCTCCCTCAGCCTTTCTTCAGAGGCGAGATGCTCCCGTCCCCTCATCATCCTTGCAGCCCTCCGCTGGACCCTCTCCAGGAGCGCCATGTCTCTCTTGTACTGGGGAGCCCAGCACTGCACACAGTACTCCAGGCGCAGCCTCATCAGGGCTGAGCAGAGGCAGAAGATCACCTCCCTCCACCTGCTGGCAACACTCTGCCTCATGCAACCCAGGAGACCCTTGGCCTTCTTGGCCACAAGGGCACATTGCTCATGGTCAACTCGTTGTCCACCAGCACTCCCAGAAGCTCTGTTCTCAGCAGAGCTACTTTCCAGCAGGTCAGCCCCCAGCCTGTCCCGGTGCATGGGGTTATTCCTGCCTAGGTGCAGGACCTTGCACTTGCCTTTGTTGAACTTCAGGAGGTTCCTCTCCGCCCACCTCTCCAGGTCCCTCTGCATGGCAGCACAGCCTTCTGGTGTGTCAGCCACTCCCCCCAGTTTAGTATCATCAGCAAACTTGCTGAGGGTGCACTCTGTCCCT